AGGGCGGGGCGGTGCGCGGTAGGGCGAGGCGGGGCGGGGCGGGATGCGGCAGGGTGAGGTGGGATGGTGGTGTGGCAGGGCCCACAGTAGTCGGGTGACGCGCGGGAACCTGGAATCCTCCAACCCGTTCGAATCGGCGCACAGATGTGCCCGAATGTGCGCGACACAAGAGGTTCGCTAAATTCGCTCGCTGAAACATGATGTGTTAAAATTGAATAGCATCGCACGCGCAAAATTACACACACACACTCACATCACACACACATCACACACACATCACACACACACACACACACGTGTGCCTCTGAGAATTGCACAAGCGCACTGGAAAATCAAAGGTGCTATATAACACCTTTTAAAGTGCACTAGTGTCTTTGTAAAGGCACTAAGATTGCCAAAAATAGCGCCTCTAGGGGCCAGTCGCGCCTTTTCAAAGGCACAGATTCACTAACGCCTGTAAAAAGGCACAAGATAGCACCTTTGTTTTTCCAGTGCGGTGCACAGCTACGAAGACCGAATTCTTCGTCTTACTGATTTGAACAATTTGCTACCATGTTCTCTCATTTGGACTGCACATGTGTGTGCTAGATCGGACGCTTACTGTGAGGGAAGTGTTCGACAAAAGGAGTTGCGCACTTACAAGTGCACAAATATCGAGTTGAATACTTGCAAGTGGAACTACTCCTGAATTGAGCACTTGCAAGTATTGAACTTGCAAGTGCACACCTCTACAAATGTTAAGAAGTTGCACACTTGGTTTACCAGTGTGCTACTGGATCATTAGTTTTCACGTTACCGTTGAGTTTGGCATACTTGGGCCGGCCGAGACACGTTGAATCGAATGCGATATCACGATGTAACCAAAATGGGAAAGGTTTTACATGTTTAACCAATGTGACGTCTCATGACATGCATTGAACAACAGTGAATCAGATGGCACTTCTTTAAACAGTATAACTATGGTTGGTCAGTTGAGAGTGAGTGTGAGAAAGAGAGAGAGAGAGAGAGAGAGAGAGAGAGAGAGAGAGAGAGAGAAGGGGAAGAGAGAGACTCCCCACCAGCAGCGAGTCAAAGACCGCTCCACGCCGCTTCGCGCTGCGCCGCTCGGCCGCCACCCCCGGGTCCCCCATTGGGCGTCGGTCCCGGCTGCGCTGGAGGGAGGGGGGAGCGCCGCTCTGCCAGCGCCGGGCTCTCGGCTCCGCGAGCTCCGCTTGGGCTCCAGCGAGCGCGCCCGCGGGGGCTGGGGGTTGGATTAACCCTCGGCATAGTGCCTGCTGACACCCGAGGCCGTGCGTCGGAAGCCACTCCCCCTTTGCCCGCCCGCCCGCGGCCCGCCGTACCGCCCCCGCGCCGCCCCCCGCGCCGCCCCCGGGTGCGCTGCGCTGCCACCCCGCCGCCGTGGCGCAAGGCGGTTTGATGGCGGCTCCGCCCTGCTCCGCCCGCTCGCCAGTGATGGTCTGGTCCTCGCCATGAAGAGTCCTCGCTCCGGGTCCTCGTCGGGCCACAGTCCGCAGCACCTCCAGGACCAGCATGAGGAGTACCGCGGTGAGTACAGCACGCGCCCTCAGCAGCGCCCACGAGATGATGGCGTGCAAGTGCAAGTGCCCGAAACTACCCGTCGTTGCACACTTTCAAGCGTTGGGTTGGATATTATTTGAATACTGAAAAGTGTTGGACAGTAAAGTTAAGCGCTCAAAAGTGGCGGCAGTCACATCGGATTGCCGCCTTACCCCTGCCGCACCTGACGTTTCAACTGCGGGGTTGACCATGCAGCTTTGGAGTTCAAATTTACAGTCGAGCGGTATTTTATGTATTCAAACTTTTAGTCCATCACTTACCGTGTGCACCATGGCATTGAAAACCATTATGTGCATGCCAGAGTGGCCAGGGCCTGGTGGACACCTTCTGTTATCAGTGAGGTCGCCGTCGGTGACCATAGCACGCCGTCTCTCCCCGGGACCGGCCCTTTGCGCGCGAAAGAGAACACTGCAAATGTCAAGGGACAACTTGGACAAATTTTTAAAAATTACCTTAATATTGTCGGTACGCAAGCTCCGAAATTTCATCGTGCTAGATGTGCACATGGACCGACATAAGCGCATCTTGCAATGGGCAAAAATCGTCCCATGACATTTGGAGTGAAGAACACGGTGATTAATATTTTCCACCGTTGTTTCAACACAACACAAACGCAGTCATCAAAAATACTTCTCCCAAATTGCTTTGGAAATTTAAAGTGTTGCCTTGCAAATAATTCGGGAAGGTTAGATGTGAAGGAAAGTATGTTTGTTAATAACGCGGCAAGCGCATTATTCACATCAATCGCTTGGCAATTTTATATTTCTTGCTAGTTTACTACTTTTTCATAGAGAGCACGCTTTACGTGCGTGTGTTGATTCAAGTGATGGAATATGTCGGACAATAAAGTAGCGCACTGTCCTATGGGCTGTCCTATGACGACGCAAAGTTGTGCATTTCCTTTATACCCTGCTTTTATCGTTTGCGTAAGGCCATCCAACCATACGGACTGTGTGTTTGGCGCTTTCATGTCACTGGCCCTCCCACGAAAAAGGCTTTTATTTTTTTGTCAACAGTTGTGCGATGCACTCCTGCCTAAAGGGGGTTTATAATCAATGCGACAAAGAAAGGTCAACTTTTCCGCGAAAGTTTGGAACAGGTTTTTCTTTTAGTTCGACCGTGGTGCACGTAAAGCTGGGATTCTGGAATGGGAGCAGAGTTTCACCGAATACCACGGTGTCTGTTTACGGCTTACGCCCAATTCAGTGCCATTTCAACGGCCATGCCCGTATTTTGTGCTAGGAACTGCAGAATATTCAGTAGTCGCGTAGCAGATACTGTGAAAGACATCAAAACGCCCCAATAAATGAGACGCAATGAATAATTTGAGCACGCCGTTATTAGACGCTGCATTTGCAAAACTCCCTGAAAGAAAAAAAACAACTGCACACTAAACCTAAAAGGCAAATTTTATTATTTCACATTAAGGGGAACGTTTTCGTGCGCATCCATAGATCAGATGCAATTTATTTGTTCCTACAAGTGGACAAACTAAAATTGTGTCTAGTTCAAGACAATTTTCCCAGTCTTAGGAAAAAAATTGCATCTGATCTATGGATGTTGCACGTGTACATCAAGGAATGCAATTGACCCGCACATACAGGGTGTGGTTTTGCACGGTTCCAGCGTACTAGAAACACAAAGTGTGTGAATATCGCACACCAGTATAGGCTCATTATTCGTACACTCATGGGAGGAACATGTGAATTTTCTTTTGAGCCTAGGGTTGGAAATTTCCAAAATTTTGCGAAAAATTTCTGAAAAATTTCCGAAAATTTATGGAAAATAACAGAAAACTTCTAAAGTCTGGGAAATTTTCCGTTTTTTCCTGAAAATTTCCGGAAACTCTCCAGGGTTTCCAACCCTATTTGTACAACTATATGTACAAATATCGCAACAAGTGCGTGACATTCACACACTTGGGTTTCCGGTGCTGTGACCGCGTAGTTTTTCACCCCCTCCCCCCCCCCCTTCTCAGCCCGCGCGTCATGTCCCACGCCTTTATTTATGGCCGGGGCAGAAAACACAACGGGAAAAACTTTTCTTTCTTTCTCTTTTCCGGCTGTGCTCCGCGCGGGGCGGGTGGCGCTGGAATTAGATTGGAGCCGAGAGCGGCGCGCGCGGTCCTCTAGAAGTGGCGCGCGCGGTGTGTCTGTCCCCCCGACCTCGGCGGAGCAGCGCGGAGAACAAGAAAAAGAGCTATAAATATGGAGACATGTTGCGGCGCGCGCGACCCGAAATCCGTCTCTGATTACGCCTTGCGACACGAGTCAACGCAAAAGAGGAGAGAGAGAGAGAGAGAGAGAGAGAGAGAGAGAGAGAGAGAGAGAGAGAGAGAATCAAGCCGTGGCGACCGCGGCGGTGCGCGTCGCGGAGAAAGAAAGTCGGGATTATGACAGCGGCGCTCGGGGATTTTTCCAAACGGCGTCGTTGCGTCCCTGTTTCCCCCTGAGCTTTGTTTGTCTGTTTGTTTGTCTGATTGATGGGCTCGGAAGCGATCTGCAGAGACCGTCTCCGCTGCCTTCCTCCTCTGTGTCTGTGCGCGTCTTTCTCTACTTTTGCGCATGTCATTATAATTTTGTGTTATTTGTTTCGGGGACAAAGAGTAAACAGATGATGGAACTTTCTCTTTGCAAAATGTTGTTGTGTCTTTCTGGCTGGGGTGTATGAACGATACCTCTTTTTGTGTTTGTAAAGTTTCTGGTCCTCTAAGTATTTGGCGCGTAAAAGTGAAAAATCTGAGGTGTTTACATTTGTAAAGGCAAATTTACACTTTGTTTAAATTAAATGCCCCTCTCAGACGTAAAGAGGCGTTAAAAATACTTGTAATCATTTTATGGACCACCCAGAAAAGGCAGTAGAATTGAGTACTTTTTTGGCCAACTCACAACTCATCTTGCTGTATTTCTTTGCTGTTTTTTTTTTTTTGCTGGCATGCCAACCGATCACGGGCGGTTCGGCTCTTGAGTTCCGGTCTGATCCTGGAGCACCGGCGTTAAGGTCTCTGACTTCATGCAGCCGCTAGAGAATGTGTTTTCGAAAAGTAAAGCTGGTCGATACCCGATGCTGCGTATTTGTGGATGATGTAAAGGAAGTATCGCTTTTAAAGAAAAATTGACCATATTTCACAGAAACCGCCTAGCCATGTAATTAGGTAATACGTCTCAGAAAAACCTTAAAGTTGCAACCGGAAGGTGTTTGTAAATCGGAAATTCTCAAGTTTGAGACTGTCGCTCGTCTCACACTAAGGAAGTAAAAACAAAATAAATAAAATAGAGTAGTTATATAAGGTTTAAAATTGAATTGCCCGAAAGAGAAGACTAATATGTGTGCCTAGTAACCGCTCTGGTATCCTTTCTTTAAGGATTAAAGAAATATTTAAGACGAAAAACCTAATTATAATAATTAAAAGGCGTAGAAAACTACTTTTGTACGGTATGGCTGTGGTCGCACTGCACAGTAAGTAGTATATCGAAATGATGTTGTATGAGTGAGTGTCGAGCACCCCTGTGCGCAATGGGAACACAATTACACAAGCAAAACCAACAGCAGCGGCAGCGCCGGCCGCACCCTCGGCTGGGTGCGACTCCCTTTGTGGACACGCAAAGTCAAAATGTGACCGGGGGACGCGCGCGCATAGAAGGGTCGCGCCCGACTGGACCCCTCTCCTCCTCCCCTCCTCCTCCTCCTCCTCCTCCTCCTCTCCCCCACTCTGCACGCGCAAAGCTTTTGCATTGTGCGTCTCGTAACCTCATATTAATAAGGCCAATAAAATGTCATGGATAGAATAGCAATTTGTCGAGAGTGCAGCAGGCCGGGCCGGAGTCGGCGCGCGGCGCTTGTGCGTGAGCGTGCGGGGGAGCGGGGCGGGGC